GTCTGAAATGTGAAAACCATTATTAATTATTTATGCTCCAAGAAGTATACATAAAACTGTTCCCATGCGTGCGAACGATTCATACTCTCATGTTCAGGAGCTACACTTGTTTCGTGAAACGGTATTCCGTCGTATAATGCGAGAAAAGATGAAATCGAAGGGGGTAGAGTCGACTCCTGCAGTTGACGAGTTTGAGACGATTGACACTCCACTGGAAGAGATTCCGTCTGCACACATTTTGAACACTGTACACAAAGAGGAGAACCGCGGCTTATACGGCTGGATCACCAGTTTCTTCACTCAGGAAGAGAGCAGTAAGTTCATCAAAACACTTTGTTCTAGATAAGGATGTACTAAGCTTAACGGATTACTGTTTTGAGAATCCCTTCAGTAGAATGGCCAAGTCAGTCATCACAATTCAATAATCGGCAGGAGACGCTGAACGGTGTCAGGGAGGTTGAGTGGGCGCGGCGCGTGCCCGTTCTCCACCAGTTGTTAAAGTGAACATCTGGTGCAATACGTGCTGGCTTTGCGCCATACCCAGCTTCCTGAAGGGCTCCGCAGTCTGCAGTGAAAATGATTGTATAGCAGGATACATACACCCTGTGGCTTTATCTGTTGCTCTTTTCAGATGTAAAAAAGGATGAAGCATCTGACTTCGGGAAATTCGAAACCCATGAATTCAAAGATCTTCCGAAGTCATTTAATGTGAAGGTAATGTGTTTCCTTTCCGCCATCTTAATTTCGCTCTTGTGAAAGTGTGTTCATACTTTGCGGCAGTTCTGGGCATTCTGAGCGGCTAGGGAATTATAGCTATCGATCTAGCATTTTGAGCGTCCGTCAGCGTGTTGAACGTCCCCAGCGTTCTGAGGACTATGAAAGCATAGGTATCGATTACTGCTGAAAACGCTGGCGTACGCTCGAAAAGCTGGGGGACGCTCAAAATGCCGGATTGATACCTGCACATTCCTAGTCGCTATTCCTTGAAACACTAGATCGATACCTACGCTTTCATGGTGCCAGACACTCAAGACGCCGCCGCAAAGTATGAGCGCACCACACCTGATTTTTATTTTATTCTTCTTAGGAAATGGAGGAAGAGATTCTTGACGTACTACATGAGTCGTGGGATGATTCGACCCTTCTTCGACGTGATGTTCTGTTGGCCGAGATTGCTATGCGCCTTGAGCACATGACCCATCGATTCGTCGACACTGTTGTGAGCTATTTTTCTTTATTTGATCCAGTGGAGTAGTAAAGGTAGCACATTCCAGGTTCTGGATAA